TCCTCCTCCTCCTTCTCTTCCTCCACCTCTTCCTTTTTCCCCTCCTCCTCCTCCTCCTCCTCCTCCTCCTCCTCCTCCTCCTCCTCCTCCTCCTCCTCCTCATTGCTCCCGCATGTGCGCCCGTTCCGTTGAAGGTGGACGGAGAGGTGCCCGCGTGGCGCCCGGCTCCGTTGGGAGGCTGGGGCCCGGCAGGTTTGCTGCCGTGGCGCAGCGAGACCAGGACCGAACCCCAAAGCCCGGAGGCCCCCCATTGCGCTGGGGGCGGGGGCCCACTCGGGCACCCCCGGGCCGGGAGCAGGAGGAGGAGGAGGAGGAGGAGGAGGAGGAGGAGGAGGAGGAGGAGGAGGAGGAGGAGGAGGAGGAGGAGGAGGATATTTGTTTCTGACATTCGCTTCGGGGGTGCACTAAGGCAGCGGCCTGACGCGAAAGCAGCAACTGGCCCTCCAAGAGGCCTTGCCAAAGACGCGAGGCGCTACAACCCTACCCCAGAGGGGAGAGAAGGAGGACGAGGAAAAAGAGGAGAGGAAGGAGGAGAGGAAACTACCCATACTAGGGTTGACGGCCGAATAGGCGCGTCTAGGGTCGCTACCCCACCAGCGCGTCGCAATTCGTAATTCGTAGGCCGAATAGAGGCGTCACGAGCCGAATAGAGGCTTCAGGCCGAATAGAGGCTTCAAGCCGAATAGAGGCTTCCCGAGCTTCAATGGGCGTCAGGGGAAGAGGCTTCCGGCCGAATAGAGGCGTCACGAGCTTCACCAGGCGTCAGCGGAATAGAAGCGTCACCGCAGCTCCTTGGGGGAATAGCGTCTTCAAATAGCGTTTTTTTTTTCGGCCGGGCCCCCCCACCCCGGCTCCCCGGCTCGGCTGGCTCCTCCCCAGCCCACAGGCCCCTGTGTATATATATATATATAATATATATAATATAGATATAGATATATATATATATATATATATATGAGGGCGGTGTTGACACAGGACCGGGGCGGGTAAGCAGTGATACCCCGGGTCCGGGGTCCGGCCAGGTCCGGGCCGGGTCCGGGCCGGGACGCCGGGTCCGGGCCGGGTCCAGGCCGGGTCCGGGTATGGGCCGGGATTGGGCTGGGCCGGGTGCGGGTCCGGGCCGGGTCCGGGCCGGGACGCCGAGTCCAGGCCGGGTCCAGGTCTGGCCCGGTCCGGGCCGGGTCCGGGCCGGGTCCGGGCCGGGACGCCGGGTCCAGGCCGGGTCCAGGTCTGGGCCGGGTCCGGGCCGGGTCCGGGCCGGGTCCGGGCCCGGTCCGGGCCGGGTCCGGCCGTGTCCGGTGACGGGCCGGGTTCCGGGCCGGGTCGGGCCGGGTTCCGTGCCGGTTCCGCGGGCCTCCTGACCCGCTGACCTCCTGATCCGCCGTACTTTGGATGATTTTCCGACCTAATATTGTGTCGGAAATCGACGCCAAAGGAGCCTCAAGGGCGGAAATCGACGCTCAAAGGGGCCTCAAAAGTAGGGCGGAAATTTCCGCCCTACTTTCGAAATCGCCCAAAGTAGGGCGGATCAGGAGTCAGGGCTGGTCCAGGCCGGGTCCGGGCCGGGTCCGGGCCGGGTCTGGGTCTGGGCCGGGTCCGGGCCGGGTCCGGGCCGGGTCCAGGTCCGGGCCAAGCCTGGGCACCGGGCCTGGGCCAGGTCCGGGCCGCAACGATGTCGCTCAAGAGCCCCAAAAAATTCTCGAAGAAGCACCCTGGAAGCTTCAAAATTGTTCCCGCGAGGCCCCCGCGGAAACCTCAAGACACCCGAACCAGCATCCAACAAGCCTTTGACCCACATCCCAAACATGGTGGCGGGATGGGCCGAAGGCCACTGGATCCGCCGCCCCTTGTTGATTTGTCACAGCGGTGCCTGCATAAACCGGATGATAATTAATGATTTTGGCCTCTTCGGGCCTGCCCAGGCTTCTTGGGCCGTCTTGGAGGCCTCTTGGAAGCCTTTTGGGCCGTCTTCGGACATCTTGAGGCCCTCTTGGGCCGACCTAGTGGTTGTTTAGCTGACTTGGAGGAATCCTGCACCCTCCCGGGCCGTCTGGAAAGCCATCTTGGACCATCTACGGCCCGAGAACCGACCCGTATGTTGAGGGCGGTTTTTCGAGAGGCCAGCGCGCTCGGCGAAGCCCCAAGGGGATTTTCCTTTGGAGAAGAACCAAAACCACGGCTTCAGACGTATAGCACGCCAGGATGTTGGCATTTACTTCTATCGGCTTTCCGACGGCCCAAAACTGCCCAACCGTCCAAATCGTCTCAAAATCGGCCAAGAGGCCTCCAAGATAGCCCCAGAACGGCACAAGAGGCCCCCAAGACGGCGCTTTAAGAGCTCCAAGACGGCCCAAGAGGTTTCCACGACGCCCGAATTGGGCCTCCGAGACGGCCCTGATGCATCCAAAGGGGGGCCCAAGTCGGTGCAGAGATGGCCCCAAGACGGCTCCCGACGGCGTCAGACGGGCCACGAGCGCGGTAAGACGGCCACAGACGCCCCCACGAAAACCGCAAAGGCCCCCGGGAGGCCCCCAAAAGGCCCCCACGAGGCCTCCAAGAGGCCCCCAAGAAGCTCCCAGGAGGCCCCACGAGTGCCCCAAGAGACTCCCAAGATGCCGCCTCCTCCTCCTCCTCCTCCTCCTCCTCCTCCTCCTCCTCCTCCTCCTCCTCCTCCTCCTCCCCCTCCTCCTCCTCCTCCCCTCCTTCCCCAGTCCTCGCCCCGCTCCTCCTGCCAGCGGAGACCGCGCGGCGCCCGCGGGCGGCAGGCGGCGGGGCCGTGGCGCAACGGGCGCCGCGCCTCGGCGGCACCCGCGGAGTCCGCCATCGGAGCCCGGGGCGGGCGGGGGGCACCGGGCGGGGATTATGTCGGGCGTGTCCCCCTACAGGTGGATGTTCGACGAAAGATTAGAAATACCCCCAAAAATACCCCAAAAAGGCAGAAGAATACAAAAATTATAGCCGGAGTGCAGTATCCCCAAACAGGGTTTTTAGACCCACTGCGGTTTCCAAGGTCGATTGCGTGCCCGTCCAGTGCGGGCTGGCATGGCATGTTAAACATACCTCCTACTCCTCCTCCTCCTCCTCCTCATCCTCATCCTCCTCCTCCTCCTCCTTCCTCTCTCCTCCTCCTACTCATCCTCCTTTCCTTCCTCATCCTCACCTCCTCTTCATCCCGAACGGATTCTCGGAGCCAGAGTTGCGAGGATGTCTCAGGCTATCGGGCTGGACCGCCTCGCGCGCGGCATTTCGGACCCCAGAGTTGCGACGATGTCTCGGGCGAAATGTGCTGCGAGGAAGTCTCAGGCGAAAAGGGCCGGACCACCTCGAGCGCGGCGTCTCAGAGCTCCGAGTTGTGGGGGCCTCCTGGGGCCTCCTGGGACCTCCTGGTGACCTCCTGGGGCTTCCTCCTGGGCCTCCTGTGGCCTCCTGGACCCCACCTGGGGCTTCCTGAAGCCTCTTGGGGCTCCCAGGGGGGGATATCTAACATGTGGCCGTCGGGGCCCCCCTAAAATGGGGGGGAGCAGGAAAAATCAACGAATCGACACTGGATGTGTATTAACTTGACTCGTTCTGATCGGGGGCCTCCTGGGGCCTACTGGGAGCCTCCTTCGATAACCCCTGGGGCCTGTCCTGGGGCCTCCTGGGACCTCCTGGTGACCTCCTGGGGCTTCCTCCTGGGCCTCCTGTGGCCTCCTGGACCCCACCTGGGGCTTCCTGAAGCCTCTTGGGGCTCCCAGGGGGGAATCTAACGTGTGGCCGTCGGGCCCCCCAAAAATGGGGAGAGGGGGCCTCAAGAGCAGCAAAAATCAACGAATCGACACTGGATGTGATCATTTACTGTCACTTTCTTATGGGGGGCCTCCTGGGGCCTCCTGGGGAGCCTCATGGGAATCTCCTGCGGAC